CCCTGGGACCCCAAATCCCCCTCCCAGCGGGTGGAGGTGACCCCCGTCCCTTGTCCCCTGTCCCCGGGGGTCTCCTGCAGCACCCAGGGGTGCCGGGGGTCAGCGTCACCCCTGTCCCCCTGCGGTCCCACAGGTGACAGTGGCACAGGGGTGACGGTGACGGTGACAGGGGTGGCAGTGACAGTGACAGGGTGACAGTGACACTCTCAGGGTGACGGTGACAGTGTCAGGGTGACAGTGACACTCTCAGGGTGACGGTGACAGTGTCCCCGCGGTGTCCCTGCAGGTGATGGGGCGGGTGACGGTGTCAGGGGTGACAGTGACACTCTCAGGGTGACAATGATGGTGTCAGGGGTGACAATGACAGTGTCAGGGTGACAATGACGCACTCAGGGTGACAATGACACACTCAGGGTGACAATGACACACTCAGGGTGACAGTGACAATGTCCCCGCAGGTGATGGGGCGCAAGGGCCCGGTGGCCGAGGCTCAGGGCGTGGAGGTGGCGCTGGCAGGGGTGACAGCGACAGTGTCAGGGTGACAATGACACTCTCAGGGTGACAATGACACTCTCAGGGTGACAATGACACACTCAGGGTGACAGTGACAATGTCCCCGCAGGTGATGGGGCGCAAGGGCCCGGTGGCCGAGGCTCAGGGCGTGGAGGTGGCGCTGTCAGGGTGACAGTGACGGTGTTAGGGGTGACAGTGACAATGTCAGGGTGACAATGACACACTCAGGGTGACAATGACAATGTCCCCGCAGGTGATGGGGCGCAAGGGCCCGGTGGCCGAGGCTCAGGGCGTGGAGGTGGCGCTGGCCCCCGAGGAGCTGGAGCTGGACCCCACGGCCATGACGCAGAAGTACGAGGAGCACGTGCGGGAGCAGCAGGCGCAGGTGGAGAAGGAGGATTTCAGTGACATGGTGGCCGAGCACGCCGCCAAGCAGAAGGTGACGGTGACACCCGGGTGACGCCGCCTTTGTCACCCTCCGTGCCCTCCCCCGGCCGCCCCGTGCCCTCAGCGGGGCCACCACGGGTTGGTGGCTCTGTCCCTGCCTTGTCCCCTCCCTGTCCCTGTGACCCCCTTGTCCCCTCCCTGTCCCCTCACTGTCCCCTCACTGTCCCCCTGTGTCCCCTGGCCCTGGTGACCCCTGGTGACGTGCTGTCCCCTTGTGTCCCTTCCCTGTCCCCCTGTGTCCCCCCACTGTCCCCTGTTGTCCCCTGGTGTCCCCTGACTGTCCCCTGGTGTCCCCTGGTGTCCCCTGGTGTCCCCTGGTGTCCCCTGTTGTCCCCTCACTGTCCCCTGTTGTCCCCTCACTGTCCCCTGGTGTCCCTGACTGTCCCCTGGTGTCCCCTGGTGTCCCCACAGCAGAAGAAGAGGAAGGCTCAGCCCCAGGACGCCCGCGGGGGGGGCAAGAAGTACAAGGAGTTCAAGTTTTAGATGTCACCGCTGTCCCCTCGCTGTCCCCTCGCTGTCACCTCCCTGTCACCTCCCTGTCACCCCCTCCAGCACCACCCCGGTGTCACCCGGCGCCGCTCTGGCTGTGGGGACAGCGCGGTGGCAGTGTCCTGGCACTGTCCCCTGGCACTGTCCCCAGCAGTGTCCCCAACAGTGTCCCCAACATTGTCCCCAACATTGTCCCCAACATTGTCCCCGTTGTTTTGTAAATAAAAGGTGGTGTCCCCACCGCACCCCGCGGCTCTGCCTGGTGTCACCGAGGTCCCCGTGTCACCGAGGTCATCGGGTCACTGTGTCACCAGGTCACCGGGACATGTCCCCAAGGTTCTCGTGTCACCGGGACGTGTCACCGAGGTCCCCGTGTCCCTGAGGTCACCAGGTCACCGGGACATGTCACCGGGTCACCGTGTCCCCGAGGTCCCGGTGCCACTGGGAGATGTCCCCAAGGTCCCCGTGTCCCCATGGCCCTGCCCCTGTCCCCAAGCCTTGTCCCCCTCTTTGTCCCTTTGTGACAGGGACACGGGGGGGGGGTTGGGGACAGTCCCGGGGGTGGCCCTGGCTGGGGACAGGGTGGGGACAGGGGGCGGAGCCACCAGGAGCCCCCCGTGTCCCCGTCCCCTCCCCCGTGACCCCTCGGTGACCCCTAAGGGGGCGTGGCCTCATCACCTATCAGCCAATCAGCGCCTTGGTGGGCGTGGCCTGCGCATCGCCGGGCGTGGCCTCGCCTGACAGGGGGGCGTGGCCTCCGTTCCGCAGCGGGGTGGGCGGTGACCAATCAGCGCCGCGCGTGGGCGGGGTCGGGCCTGGTGCTGCCCAATCAGAGCTCGCGATGCGGCGAGGCAGCCAATCAGGCGCGGGGGGGCGTGGCCGGCGCGGCGGCGGCGATGGCGGAACGCGGCGCCCCCCGCGCCCCCCCCGGGCCCGGAGCCCCCCCGGGGCCCCCCCCGGGCCCCCCCGCGCCCCCCCCCGGGCCCGGAGCCCCCCCGGGACCCCCCCCCGGGCCGGTGCACATGAACCTGTTCGCCACATGGGAGGTGGATCGCAGCTCGCCCAGCTGCGTGCCCAGGTGAGGGGGGGGCGCGGGGACCCCCCCGGGACCCCCCCGGGACCCCCCGATCCCCGGATCCTCCGTGGGGAGGGGGCTTCGCGTTCCCCCGGGGGTCCTGAGGGGCTGGGTGGGGGTCCCGTGGGGGGGAGGGGGGTCCCACCTTGGGGTTTTTGGGGGGCTCTGGGGGGGTCCCGAGGGACCCTTTTTTTGGGGG